GTAGTGCATTATTATTTGGTAAAGTTGACTCATCAAGTTGAATGGAAAATCGGCAGGTGTTCAAATAATCGCATAATGAAAATTCAACGTTATCAGCCATCTCATCAATTCTTCTTTGTACAGAAGAATTGCTCAAAGGTATTTTTCTTATAATGTCTGTAGCTGGTTTGTGAAGCACAGTGGTTATTACCTCTTTTATTGCTGGCAAGATAAGCTCTTCTCCAATTGTGTGCGGTTTTCCGGGTTTTGCAATTAACAGTGAAATATTATATGAAGCTTTAAGTCCGTCATTATCTTGTTTTGAGGAAGATGCAAAAAGATTTGTTATTATTGAGCGGTTTGAATAGTTGGCATTTAATGCTTGAAAATAGGACAAATCCTTATCCTTTTTGTCAAATGCTCCTGAAACCTAAAAGGCTTCATTGCTTCATTCGTAAAAACTTTTTGGCAAATCAAGCACATAGGTAGTAACTGGTTTGTAGGAGACTGAATGAAGCCGTATCTTAAATATTCAACGCTATACTGTCTGCATTTCTTCTTAGATTGAGACATAACGAAAGGGTACAAAATTACGCACTTAAAATTGATTGTAAATGTAAACGGAAGTCTGAAACATCAGGATGCTGCCTGCGACTGACTGATTAATCGCCCGTGGACTGCGCGATCGACGAACAATACACGATCTACGAATCGGCTTTCCTTAGAAAGAGCACGCCGCACCACATCGAATCGAGTGTCGGCTCTTACACAAAACCGAAATCAAAACAAAAATAGTTACTGGGTACACCGATTCTGATAGGTTATTACAATTAACCTTATACCACGACTATAATATAAATACGCCACCGCCCCCGCTAGGGCTCCTGAAGGCCCCCAAAATTCTTTCACACCCACTGCCCCCCCCCTAATACTTTCTAGCGTCCACTGGGGGGCGGTACCGCCCACTTTGAGAACCACTAGTCTACATATATGAACACCTTGTGTGATAAGCTACGAAAATATATAGGTGACGTCATCAGGGGGCGTGTCCCATATTCTAAACTTGTGCCGATCATTGAACTCACTCAACCACACGGTCACTATCACTTTTCACAGAATTTTCTTTCAGGTAAATATACATTGTTATTCACTGTCACGTTGCTATTGCAAGGAACATAAATGAAAAAATGTAATATTCCGCACTACTTCATAACGTTTTCACAACGTTATTGGTCTTCCTTTCCAACTTCAAATGGGACTGCTAGCTTGAATGTGTGAGCAGTGATGCCAGAACCGTGGAACGTAGAACAAATTTTTACCCTCTCCACGACGTCCCAGTGACTCCCCTACTTCAGTTGTTTCATGTAACACAAGCGTGTTGTCCCACGTGTCCGTGTCAGCTCTGCGGGTTCGGCTGCTCTCGTCATTTCTACGTTATCTGCTCGATGCTTAAGCCGCCAAAGCACGTGGCAGCAGCATCGACGAATCGATAAAATAATATAATTTCGTCCATGGCACTATGGCAGAAGTGAAAAACCAGGAGATTCAGTTCGAATCCCGATTCTACGGTTTCAGTTCTGATTCTTAATGCATTAACATTTTTTTAATACATAAAAATACATTTTTAATACATTAATACTATGAAATACATTAACTTGGGAAGCAGTTAAGAAAAAGGAGTTGAATTGCTTCCTTTATTGATATTTTTTTTAATATTTAAGTTTTATATATATACATATGTATGTACGTACATATGATAAAAGTACGTGATACAAAAGTGATTTCTTCAACTAGATATTACTGTTATTCTATTTATTACAATACGTAAATGCGAAGACATACGAGGAAAATTGGTTAGGATAGAATGTAAGGATATACAGAAATTTCAATTTTTTACGGATTGTTAGTTTTATTTTTGATTCGTTACAACTATTATCATTTTATTCTGTGAATAGTCATTAAAATGAAAGACAGAAAAATAATTTTTAACAAAAAATACAACCGACTTCGAAATGCACTAAAAAGTATGAAATAATTTCTACTTCATTTATACAAATACCCAACAGCTATTAATAAAAATAATTTTTAACAAAAAAGAAATCCGACTTCGAGATGCACTAAGAAGTATAAAATAATTTCTATTTCATTTATATCTGTATTCCACAGCTATTAGTACAATCTACTTAATCGTTAAATAGGATACTAAATATATTTCAACCTTTTCGGAGGCGACGCAAAATTAAACATAAAATTTTTTCTTTGAAAAATAATAGGAATTTCATTGTATCGTGTATCTTTACCATATCATCATCGCTTATCAATTATCGTACGTAATATATTTCTGTCCACGATTTATATGATCGCAAATTAAGAAGCAAGCTGTAGAGGGGAATCTCACACGTTATTAAAAATCTCCCTAGACCTAGTGAGCTGCGCAAGTTAAGTATGGTCTCTCGTGAAATGCAGTATACATGTACATCAGATGTGCTACCAACTTCTGATCCAATCGTTACAATTACAAATGTTTTCTGCCGTATCTATAACGTTTCGAATATGTTTTCTTACGACTTATTAATTACCAAGTTTGCCATATCGCAATTAAATCGTTATTGGCAGGATCGTATATTCAGGTACTTTTAATTTTGCACCGCCTCCGAAAAGGTTGAAATATATTTAGTATCCTATTTAACGATTAAGTAGATTGTACTAATAGCTGTGGAATACAGATATAAATGAAATAGAAATTATTTCACACTTTTTAGTGGAACGAGCAGTATTTGAAGGATACCGTAAGGATGTTTTGTATTTTTATTGGATACCTAATAACTGTCAATCAAAAAAAATATATTGATCAAATTTAGATAGTTAAATATAAATAAAAGAAAACAAGATGAATAACATTGGTTTCTATTTATTGTTTTTATTATTATTATTTAAAAAAAACATAATATTTATTGGGGCCGCCGCCCCTCCCGCCACGCAGCCATTTGCCGGGGTAGCGACGACGCGTTCCGGCCGCAGTACAGTAAAAGCTGGATATATGCAACATCGCTATCCCCTCCACTTGGCGGGATCCCCCTAAGCCGAACCGAGCCGCTCGGCGAGGAAACCGTGTAATATGATCCGACCGTAATATCGGTGTGACTAATACTAATTGAACGATAAAACTTTTATTTTTAACTTTTTCTTAATGAAACATTTACTAACGCATTTGTGAGATTTTTCTGATTAAAATGGTACCAAACACAATATGATTTGAATTATATTTATTTATTAAAATAATAATAAAACTGTACATATGTATAAGGCAGACCGTACACCAAAGATACATCAAACACGCAACATGCAACATGCAACACGTCGCATGTTGTGTACGAACGTAGAATAGGTATCGCGGCACGGTACAAACGACGGCAGAATCGACACCAAGACTGGATATATGCAACGTTTAAATGCCCAGAATCGACACCGCGGCTGGATATATGCAACATTAAATGCCCAGAATCGACACCTCGGCTGGATATATGCAACGTTTAAATGCCCAGAATCGACACCTCGGCTGGATATATGCAACGTTTGAAACCCGAGCCGACACCGCAACCGGTTTTCATTTCCAATCCTCCTTTGCTTTTCGCCAACTTTTAACATCAATTTTAGCAAGTAATTATGATTCAAACTATATCGTGTTTGGTATCATTTTAATCCGAAAAATTTCACCAATGCGTTAGTAAAAGTTTCAGTAAAAAAAAGTCAAAAATAAAAAAGTTTTATAGTTGAATTAGTATTAGTCACACCGATACGTTTCGGCTCTTTTCTTTGATCATCGGACCTCTCTTTTTCCACCACTGTCTGTCCTTTTCTACGTTCACGCTTGGTTGCTCGTCGCGTGTAACCCAAGATTAGACACCTCGACTGGATATATGCAACGTCTGGGTCCCAATGTTTGTTGCATATATCCAGCTTTTACTGTACCTCTTTCTGTAAAGTAAAATTCGACATATTAACATAACTCATCCATTTGAGAATTAATTTCTTTTATTACTTATGACGCAAATGAAAATTATATGTTCGATAAAATCTGTGATACATACTGCGCTTAGGTTTATCGTTTTGTTGCGGCTGCTGTTGTTGCGGCTGCGGCTGCTGTTGCTGCGGCTGCACCAGGGCGTTCGTCAGCGCTTCTTCTGAAAGAATAATAAAAAGAAGAAATATATGTGTTACATGCATGTTTTTAAATCATGCAGTATATTCGTTTATTTTCCATTAAAATTGGAGTTATACTTACGATCAGTTGAGGTTGATTCCATTTTTCTGTGGAAAAAAGTTTAATTAATAAAATAAAAAAAAATAATCCGCATTTGTGGATAAAAATTTGAAAACCAATCACCCCTATTTGTTTTTATTTTATTGTTATTTTGAAACTCAGTATTCTTACGTGTTTTATACGCTGATTATGAATATCATCATTATGTTTCGTCTTGGTCTAATTTATTTATTATTTTGTTGAACCGATCCGATTGAAAAAGAAGGATAAACTAGCCCGCGGGACTGGGAATAGTTCGATGAAAGATTTTTCTGAACAATGAATGTTTCGATGACGACTTGTGTTTCTTCGAGTACGCGTTCGCGACGAGACTAGCCGTTTCGATACGATCCGCGTCAACGAGGGTCGTAAGTTCTCGCTACGGTTTGACCGACGCCACGAACCGCGTACTACCCTGCGACCGGTTAAGGCGACAGAGCGTATTAGGGTTGCAATTAATTATAGAATGCTTGTGATGTTTAGATGTGTTTGATGCTTGCACAAAGATTTAATGGTTCGATGAGTTACTCTGACTCGAGTGTTAACAGTTGTTCGTATATGTGATTTTTCGAATGCTTATGAAGCAAACTGATCGGAGTCTCAACGGAGGCTTTAGAATACGAACGAAGTGATCTGGTCAGAGGATCGACAAGAAGTGTCCTGTGTTTGATGTTTTGTCTCTAGTTTCTATTTTCCCTCTCCTGGGTCTCAAGAACGGTCAGTTAGGAGCTGCAGCGAACCAGTCGAACCCAACAGCCGCTATGCACATGGGAGTCATTTGGTTTGGAAGGACCGGTTGTACCCCAGGCAATAAATGAATGAATGCTTTCATGGTCAAGGTGACCGTTGGTGCCTGGGACCGACTTTTGGACTGCGCAGACACATGCATCACACAGGGTTCGTCTAAGACCCGGAAGAGAAGAAGGTTTTGGGCCTTTTGTTTAGGCAGTGGAAACGAATGTTCTGAGTTTATGGTTTGGAACCTTCTAAGCCTTGGGCGGTAATTTCATTAATATGTGATGAACTACCACTCTGGCCAGCTTAGGGTAGTTTTTAAGAATCATGTTAAATATGACCGATCGTGTTTCTGAATTAGTGCAATAAACTTGTGAAAGCTGCCATGCCGCGTAACAACTTGACTCACAAGGGGACCACCAAGGTGAGGACATTGCTTTTTGATCGACAGTAGGTACAAGTTGTAGTATACATAGAGTGTTATAAAACCCTCATTGGTTTTGATAGAATGAGCCTTTGCTTTCGAGTTATTGTAGTTTAAACAATTCTGTGCATTTGGTCTTTCAGTTGTGAGAGATGGTTTACAACAGCGGCGCTGTAGGTGAGTGAGTAAGGTAACGGACTGGAAGTTTGGAGGTTACGGGTTCAAAACCTCTTTTTGGAGGTTGAAATTTTTTTTTTTTATGATTTTTTCGATGCAATTTGTTTTTGGTTTTATTCTACATTAATTTAAAACAAATAAATATTAGTAAAAACATTTGTGTATAAAAAAATATTGTATTTCTGATACAGCGTATTGCTCGCGTCTGGAAGTAATTTTGCACTGGAGAAATGTCTTTCTTTTCGAAATTGTTATACCGAAGGTATTGACGCCTGGAATTGCGCACAATGTTGAGGGTGATACATATCATAAAAACAATGGAAGCACAACTTATTCCCACACCACGCACATTGTAATAACGCAACTTTTTCACAAGTACAAAATCCTAAATTGTGTGGAAAGCATACATCATTCATATTTTTAAATTTGGGTTTCTCGTCAGTTGTCAATCCCGCCGCATACCACGCATACAATATCATGTTGTTAAAGACGGAAGCACACAATTGATTATGGAGTAAGGAATGGATGTGTATTGCATCCTGCCGTTGCGTTAATTCGAGGTGAGTTTCTAGCAAGTGCGTGCAGTGCTGCAGCTTTTTAATAAAAATTTTCACTTGCCGGTAAAAGTACACATCGCAGGGTTGCACCAATGGTTTACACTTCGGAGGTATTACCGCGAGCTTCCAAGTTTCATTAACGTTGCTGTCCACAAAAACCCGATCGTACACATCCCCTGTCTGTACTCCCCAAGAATCTACAAGTAATAGAAATAGATTATCTTTCACGTACGGTTTTAACACGGTTGTTAAATATTCCGCATATAACAGTTTTGTTAATTTTCCCGATTTGCTGCAGGTAACAACAACATTTTTATATAATTGTTTTAAAGAATCTATTTGTTTTTGAACTTGAGGCCCAAATATATCGCGTACTTCTTGTAAGCATATGAAAACATGAGGTACAAATTTGCCCGACATTGTTACAGTGTACTGCGCGGTATAAGAATGTGATAATTTGTTTAAACTGTTTGTTTTAACAAATACTTGTTTACTGCCTTGAACGGCTAATGTTCGATTTATACTTGACTGGTACTGGCAACTCGTCTGGTCTGTATTTAAAATGAAATCTCTCACGTAATTATTGCGCAGTGCTCCAACTTTATTCTGAAAATTGTTTGCTGCGCGCAAAATAATAGTGTCGTCTAATTTCGGTATTATAATATTGGCGAGGCCTAATTGTAATTGCAATTCGTTGTGATTATTTATAGTTTCGCTAGAGTATAATGTTATGGATGCAGTATGTCCGATACAACCTGCTTTGATTTTAATTTTGTTTACTTCGTTAAGATGGTGTGAGATGACGCGGTTAGAATCCTTGCATGAAACGTGAAAAGAAATTAGATAGTAAGATGCGGAGATCCATTCTTGATTCGAGTATAGTTGTATCCAAATAGGGTTTGTATGTGTAATCATTTTGGCTGGGCAATCTTTATGGTCTGCTGGTAAGTTATGTAAGGCACGTTTTATGCAGGGATTTGTTAATTCTGTGGAGAGCGAAGGTGAGTGTCGGGCACAGATTCGGAGATCGGAAATTTCTATACAATGATCTATGTCTCGATCGCTGATTATAGAGTAGCTGCGAGAATCTCTTTCAACTAAAATATATTGTTCTTGGGTGTGTAGTAGATAAATGTAATCTTCAGTGGTATCATGGAGTACAAGGCGTAAATTTCTTCTTCTACGATGGGGACTTTTAACTCAAAGCAGAGCTTGTATGAATTTAACACAAAAACGTTAACTTTAGCGATTCGTAAAAATTTATAAGCAAATTCATTTGTGTTAGAAAATATCATACGGCTAGAGCCATACTTTTGCTCAATGGTTCGTAAAATTTCGCTTAATTGATCAGGTTCTAGTAACAAAGGGTCTATTTTTCCTTGTTCTCCATTAACTACAATTGATCGCAGGTTTTCAATTAATTCGTTATGTTCGGTGATTATTTCGCTTAATTCTAGTAATAGTTCGAGTGTATTCGTGCGTTCATATATTCGCTCTATGTTCGCGTTGGTATAATTGTTGATTTTGTTCACGTATGTTGTAATTTTATCTTCAAATATATCGTTGTTTTTCAGAATGCTTCGAACAATTGTGGTTTCGTTTTGAATAAGTACGCTAAAACGCTTATTGTCTGTGTACAGCTTATCTATCTCGGAGTTATAATACTGGGCGTCCTTTTGGCTACGGGTGCCGAATAAAATATTAGCTAGGTCGCCGATTGGATTTAACCAACCGCGTTTCACGCGTTTACGTTCTACCTTTTTATATCCTAGACTGGTTAGTAAAGTATTTTTATGATTAAAACTACGTTGGAAGCGATTCGACTTGTGTCCGTAGAGTGATGGCGAGAATCCATTACCTTCTGTGTGGATTGGGTGATTCAATGCTTCACGGATTGTCGTTTCGACCGCTTTGATGTCTCGGAGATCCACGAAGACCAGTGTTTTCCATTCGTGATGGTAGAGTCTCGTGATTCCCACCGGGTCGAAGTAGATGTTTGGAAGGTTCGTGAGTTTCTCGATCTCGGCCATCCCTTCGGCGAACGCTCCTTTCCATAGGAGAAAACTTAATCTAAAATAGACGAAAGATTAGCATATTTAAGTCTGTTAAGATGGACTAATGTATCTTTGCCATTTATATTAAGTAAAGCGTTCAAGTCTCCATGGAGTTGTTTGACTTGATATGGCCCAAGATAAGGTTTCGTTAGTGCTGCAAGGCGGTTTCTGTTTTGGTTCTTTACCCATACCCAGTCTCCTGGTTCAAGTGATAACGGTTTAATCGTTTTGTCAAACCGTTTCTTGGTTCGTTCCTTGCTTGCAATAATTGCTTCAGCAGCTTGCTTATGCATTCGTTGTAGTTGTACTCGCATCTGTTCTACCAAATCCAAGTAAACGGCTTCCGGTTCTTCTTCCAATTGATTCATGAGGAGTGGGTCTTTGCCAAACGCAAGTAAGTAAGGTGTAACTCCCGTTGATGAATGGGTAGTTTAAGTGTATGTGAATACGGCTCCTTGCAGGTACCTGCTCCAATGTTCGTTGCAGCGTTCTTCTCGAGAGAGTTGGGTCTTCAAGAAGTCTTTAATAACTGCGTGAGCGCGTTCAAGCGAGCCATTAGACTCTGGTCTAAAAGCTGTAGTGTGTTGGAGGTCGAATCCAAGCATATCGGCTAGATTTTCCATAGATTACTGGTAAAATTGGTTCCTAGATCCGTCAGTACTGCTTTAGGAGTGCCATAGCGTAGAATCCAAGTGTTCAGTAAAGCTTCCGCTACCGTTTCGGTTTTCTGGTCCGCTAAGGGCTTGGCTTCGAGGTATTTTGCTAACTGGTCTTGCATGGTTAATATGTATTTCATACCTTTGGAGTCCGGCTCCAACGGTCCAACGATGTCAATCGCGATCTTATCGTTGAAGGCCATTGGCGTCTCAGTGATTCGTAAAGGCATCTTGGTTGGGTTTTGAACGATTTTGTTCTCCTGGCAGATTAAGCATTCAGATATGTACTTACTTACATCTCGGTGTAAGCCTATCCATGTGTAACTTCTCTGTATAACCGCTATGGTTTTACGGATGCCAGCGTGTCCTCCAAGCATAGTGTCGTGCGCTTGTCTGATTATTTCAAGCTTTTCCGCTTCCATCTCCGGCGTCCTCAGATCCGTCGTTAGCAAAGTCACGCGGAGTGATGGATCTTGAAAAAAATTAATAATTAGATCTTGTATTTGTCTTGCCTTACCTGGCAACAGGCACAACAGTCCGGCATAATCGACAGTGATGCGTTCTATTTCCTGTGCAATTATCGTGTCTCTAATTGCCTCGAAACTAGCTTGTAGGTTTTCCATAGTAAACTCTGGCCAAGTTACTACGAAGGAATGTTGTTCGTTAAACTGCACGTTTGGTTGACCCAGGTAGAATTCGACCATTACGCTGTCGTCATCTACTTGTTCTGAGAACACAATGTGTTTTCGGAGTGGTCTTCTCGCAGACTTTACTACGAGGACGACGTCGTTGTGATGATCTATGGGGTTAAGGCTTAGCTCGTCAGCATTCGTATTCAGACACCCTTTCTTGTATTTAATTTCATAATCATACTCCATCAGAAATACCCGCCAGCGTTCTTGCATAGCCCTTGGCTGTTTGCTTTTGTCCATGTAGGAAATTGGCTGGTGGTCTGTCAAAATAGTAAACTTCCTTCCATAAAGATAGGGTCTAAAGTGTCTCACACTCCAGACTATGGCTAACGTTTCCTTATCTTTGGTGGAGTATTTTACTTCGACTTTATTGAAAGTGCCACTGGCAAAACTTACTGGTCTTTCTTTCCCGTTTTCATCCTTTTGCGCCAGTACAGCTCCAAAACCGTCTCCGGATGCATCGATTGCTAGAATAAATTCCTTTTTAAAGTCTGGGTACATTAGCACCTGATCACTCACCAACAACGCCTTTAATTTCTCGTATGCCTTTTAATGGACCTCGGTCCACTCAAATTTCGCATCTTCTTTTAGCAGTGAATTCAGCAGTTTCGCAATCTGAGAGAACCTGTCGATAAAGCGTTTATAATAATTAGCTAAACCGAGGAACTCTTACCTTTTTAGTCGAATTTGACACTGGGAATTCTTCGACAGATTTCAGAGTTTCTGGATTGGGTTTCACCCCGTCTGGGGTGATTATATGCCCCAAGAATTTTAGCTTCTCACTGAGGAACTCGAATTTGTCCGGCTGCAATTTCAAACAAACTTCGCGAAGTCGATTTAGTAAGGTTTTCAGTCGTTCTCGATGTTCTTAGGCACTTTTTCCCCAAATCACGATTGAACTCGTAATGCCCATCATATGTTGAGAACGCTGTTTTTGGTCGATCCTCGGTCTTCATCGCGATCTGGTGAAATCCAGAGGCCAGATCGAAGGACGAAAAGTATTTTGCGTTCCCCAACTGGTCGAGTATCTCGATAATGTTTGGCATCGGGTAAGCGTCTTGAACTGTCTTTGCGTTTAAGCCTCGGAAGTCTATTACTATCCTCCACTTCTTCTTGCCACTGGCATCGGCCCTTTTTGGGACTACCCAGATCGGCAAGTTGTACGGAGATGTGGATTCTCACAAGATCCCTTTCTCCTTCATGTCTGCGACTTACCGGTCAATTTCGTATTGGTGGTGAGGTGGGTACCTGTACTGTTTAGAATTGATCGGAACTTCATCTAATGTAGGTATCGAATGCTCAACAAGTTTCGTTACCGACAGTGAGTCCCCTAGGAGTGAGAACACATCCTCGAATTGCCTCAAAATCTCCCAGATCTCTTCTCGTTTTGTGTTATCTATTATATGATCTAAACGGACGTTATCTTTCAATTTGGTTAATCGCTCTTGACTTACCGTTAGGTTGAATACGCGGTGAATGGTGTGGGTTAGCTCAATAGTTTTACGTTTGACGTTGATCTTCGCCTCCTCCTTTTTAAGGAACGACATACCTAGCAGTCCGTCAACTTCCAGCGCGAATTCGTTCTTGACGACTGCCAGTTCGTGTTGCTTTCCTCCTAATTCCAAGAGAGCTGCGTATTTCGTGTTCACTTTACCATTGGTTACTCCCGCAAACTCGTTAGGTTTCACTTTCCATGGCATATAAGCGCGTTGAACTAAACCACCTTTAATCAAATTGAGCGATGCACCGGTGTCGATTAGAAATCGTCCGGTAATTGGTCTTCCGTCTGCGTCGGTTCCGACTCGGATGTTGACTCGCAGCTGACTTCGTGTTGGTCCGATTCTATACATTTGATGTCTGGGGGTTTCTAATCGCGATCCTTTTGAAAATTTCTACAATTACTTGAGTAGTGACCCTGCTTGTTGCACTTGAAGCAGGTAGGAACAGCTGTCCCGGAGGATTTCTTATCGCTCTGTCGTTGACCGTCGTATCTAGGTCGCGATGCGTCACCGCTACGTTTCTCTATACCGCGAGGTCGACTCTTATCTCCCAGATGCACATTCCTGGACAACTCCTGACACAGTTCTTCTTCTCTCTCTTCCTCGTAGGCTATGCTTTGTGCGAGCTTTAACGTCCCGGCCTGGCTTGGCGGACCGATGTTCTCCATGGTTGTGACAAATTGCGTATAAAAATAGCCAGTCCAGCCTCTTCTTCTGCTCTGACTAATATTCTTTTCTCTTCTGGCGTGAACTCCTTGTTGTTATTGATGACCCTGGTAATATCTTGATGGATTTTATTAAAATGTTTGACGAAGTCCTTCACCTTCCGGTTACCTTGCCGCAAGTGGTTCCGTTCATTTATAAGCAGTTCCTTTGAACGTCTTTTACCGAATTCTTCCATAACTGCGTCGCACAGTTCGTCTACATCTCTGAACTCGCGATTTCCTAAGAACTTTTCAGCGTCGTCCTTTATTTTGTGAATAATGAGGTGGTGGAGAAACATTTCCTTATTCCTTGCGACGCTCAACCCTGCTCTTATACCCTGAATCCATCTTTCTACAGTTATATTGTGTCCATTAAACTCGCTAACGTGTCGCAGGGCCCTATCGGTGTTCCGTTCGTCCCTTTCGGTGCTTCTCCTTCCTACCGAACTATCTGTGACGCTATTATCGCTCTCATCCTCGGTGAGTGCGATGTCTTCGTCGCGAAGTTCGGGCTTGGCACGAGGGCGTATCGCGCGAATTTCTTCCTTGATTTTACGCTGCTCCGCTATGAGTTCTTTTTGTTTTTGTATAAGGGATTCGAGTTTCCCTAACTCAATTGAGTTTTGATCGGCACTACCGCCAGGCTCGTCGGTGATGTCGTTAAGCTTGACAAACTTCTTCATGTTGATTTACAAAGACTTACTTACATGCAATACTCCAGCATTGATGGTTTCCTTTTCTGTTGTTGGGTCTCGTCGCGGTGAGGTGCCTCAGCGCTTCTGCTTATCGAGTTAGGATGTGAAGATCCTGGCAGGATCGCCAATAAATTGTTCCTGTTACGTCGCAACTCAGGGAGGCAATTAAAACTACACGGTATCACTTCCACACGCGTTCGTTTTATTAAATTAATAATTGAATTTCGGACAATGGTTCAAATCTCGCACAAGAACTAACTATTATTAAGCGATTGTGACCCTTGCTATGAAGTCGCCTGGCGCAGAATGGCCGCCCGGGTGTGGTTTTTTATTATATATATGAATATGTTGCGTAGTTTCGTTCGCGAAGAAGCAGCCCAGTCGTCGGATTCTTATGTTTCTATATGTCATCAGTTTCTGGGCTGCCGTACCGTGGGAATAGGGAATGCAGGGTGTTATCTCTACTAGTCAAGCTAGCAGAGGTTCTCGCCTAACAGTACTTCGTAATTTTGCGCTGGCGTAGACGATATTTCTGCTTGAATCGTTCGGCCCACCGTACACTCCCTGTGAATTTATTGTAATTCAATTCCCGTGCATAATTTAATGCCCACTGCTGCAACATTGTGGGAGTTACTTGCTCCAGATTATTTCTGGCTTCTTCAAATCGCTTGAACGTCAAATCGTTGATAGCTGCATATTTATCGAATAACGTTCTACCAGCGGCAATATCTGCTTCCCAACTACAAATGAAACGGAATTATAAACAATGCATGGACTCTTTATATATGATAAATGTTAAACTAACAGTAAACTTACGTTTTTAACAAGACCTTCTTTCTTAATAACGAAGCACCTTTTTTTTGGAGTGTCGCGAGAGACCATTTCGGATATGCTCTTGCCATGGCGACCACTTTCTTTTTGTATTCTAACGGTATAAAATCTCGCTCATGTTCTGGACAGACCGATGACGTGTCTTCCCACATATTTTTTACTTCTTCGTCGGAAGTGGGCTCTGATAGCGATTCAAAATCGTCACCCACATCGTCATCCGGAAGTATCACCTCTTCGTCGTCCGCCAGTTCCACTTCATCCATCATAGCAACAATGCGGTTATACATTTCGGTTGCTACTTCTGTGATGGCCAAGGAAGTTTGGATTGATGACGATTTCTTCATGTAGCCTTTCTGTTCCAGCATAGATTCGCACATTTTCCACGAGCTCCAAAGATCGAATTGTGCATTCACGTCAGACACCGTCACATTGTCGCATGACGAGCTTGCTGCTGACTCACAATCCATTTTACCATTTTGAAATATCGCTTTTTGATGTTACTTCCACAATGAATCGGTACGTACTGACCGTGACGCACAAAAATCGCCTAGAAAATTTCCTCACCCCCAACCAGCAGGTATTTAACCAGGTAAAAGACCTTCGTTACCGTTAGGGATCTAATCACTCTGTGAAATCTGTTCGACAATTCCAGGCGTCGATACCTTCGGTATAACAGTGTAAGATATGCGAGGCCGCGAAACCGCGGGGCCCCACCAGCGCGCGCTAGTACCGGCGCCGCCGACAGGTGGCGACCGCGCGCACCGCGAACTCGCGAGGCTGCCGGCCTCGCGAACATTAATATACCGGGCCGCGAGGCGATAGAAGCCAGATCGATCCGCCGAAGCGAGTCTCACGACAAGCCACGACACGATACGATCAACTTCATTTTTGGTAACGAAACCCAAGCTCTCCTCCAGCAGCGTTCGGTAGGACGGGTTGTGTCTACGGCCGTCCTCCGATACAGTCCGCTGTCTCCTTGGCCACGGCCGAGAGAGTTCCCTCTCTCGGCGGCTTCCCGACCGCCGGACCGGGCGTATACGTCTCTACGGCGTCCACCGGAGCACGGTCCTCTTACTGCCTGGGTGCAGGACGGGTTGTGTCTACGGCCGTCCAACCATGAAGGCATCAACCGACCGATCCGATACTTCCCGCTACCTCCGCTACGAAATATAAGCGAACCGCGCCGTGACCGGACCGCGCCGTGACCGAACCGCGCCGTGCCCGACCGACACTGCGACCGGGCTATACCGCGACCGTTAGAGTTAAGCCGTTAGTATTAAGCCGTAGCCGTAAGACCGTTAGCCGTAAGGCCGTTAGTCGTAAGACCCGCTAGCTATAAGACCATTAGACTGAGAGGACACCCAGGGCCGTAGAATAAGTTAGTTGTAACACGTAAATAAATCTATTATTCCCACCTATATACAGCGGCCTTATTCATTCGTTCGCCTGAACCCCGGACTTACCGGCTGAGCCGGCAAACCCCCGGCTGTAACCCGTTACAACAGTTCCGAACAGAAAAACATTTCTCCGCTATGTATATGCAAAATTGCTTCCAGACGCGTGCAATACGCTGTATCAGAAGTACAATATTTTTTTATACACAAATGTTTTTACTAATATTTATTTGTTTTAAATTAATGTAGAATAAAACCAAAAACAAATTGCATCGAAAAAATCATTAAAAAAAAAAAGAATTTCAACCTCCAAAAAGAGATTTTGAACGCGCAACCTCCAGACTTCCAGTCCGTTACCTTACTCACTCACCTACAGCGCCGCTGTTGTAAACCGTCTCTCACAACTGAGAGACCAAATGCACAGAATTGTTTAAACTGCAATAACTCGAAAACAAAGGCCCATTCTATCAAAACCAATGAGGGTTTTATAACACTCTATGTATACTACAACTTGTACCTACTGTCGATCAAAAAGCGATGTCCTCACCTTGGCGGTCCCCTTGTCAGATCGAATTATGAAAAACAGTCCTGCGGGACGCGGGACGGATCGCGTAAGGACAAGGACGTCGAACTGTGTTGACCAGCTGCTAACGGTTACATCGAAGCTTTGAATATACGATATTCAACAAATATACTGAAATTTGGCTACTACTTGATTTTCATGGTAAAATAAAAATTATAATTTTTTACCTTTATCGCAATGAATACAACTGCTTCTCACAAACGAAAGCAGCACTGCCACAAAATAGCAAATCCTAATATCCAGAAGTAATCGAATAAACGGATCTATGTTTAATTTCTTCACACGTCGCTCCCACAAGAATTTACAAATAATAATATTGTTTGATAAAGAATTTGTTATTATTTCGCCAAAGCGCTGCCGGCCGCCTTACAATAGCCAAATAGTCGGCAATTTTTATTCACTATGATATTCCTAATCAGCGTAGAGAAAACACGCAAGAATACTGTTTTAAAAAAAGAAAATCGGGGGCAAGTGATTTTCAGAATTATACCCAACCAAACCACCAACCAATGAGGACTAAATTAATATATTTTTTTTAAATATAAATTATTGGTACTTGTAATTTGGTACTTACCGATATTCACTGTGTCGCGTTTAGATGAATACTGAACAAATATCTGTGACTTCTAAAGGAAGAGAGTAACAGAATTGGTGGGGCACATTCCAGGATCGCACATATTTGCGTCGTATGAATTCACGAATATCGTGTAGTTCTTACACTGTTTGAAATTTGTCAATTGCCTCGAACGTAAATAATAAATAAGGACAGCGAGTGAAAAGAGGACGAAGCGAAAACAATCCAGTCTATATCTGCAAAACAGTATTAATGCAACGATGAAACATGTTTATTTCTAATTTTTTTGCTATGAAACTTTTATCAACAAATTTGTGATATTTTTCTAATTAAAACAAGACCAAACACGATGTAAATCGGACAATTTAAATTGATGCAGTCCATCATTAATAACTAATTAAAGTAAAGTAATTAAATCGATCTATGTCGTGTTTAGATTCATTTTAATCAGAAGAACCTCAACAATCCAGCGGTACTATCTTTTCCAAGGTAAAACGAAAATTAGTCCAAATGTAATATTCCTTACTGAATGTTGATTTGTTTTACTCGCGGCAACCCTTTGTAATACATCTATCTCGAATTTTCGCGTAATACGTATTCTTTTTCCGTGTTTACGGATTCGAAGCTCCGCTGAGCTCGAGAAAATTAGTATGTAGTAGGGCAATGTCACACAATGTTATTAGCCGGCGCAGGGGAAATGAGGGATCCTTCGCACACCCCGCCGATTTTGGCACACACAAACCGTGTGAGCCAAGGCAGGGCGCGACCAATCAGACGCACACTCTTTCCCTCGAACAAATTACGGACGAGCAGCAATCAGTTAGAATTGCGACGCTGTCATCAATTGAATTCATGATACATTCCGTTGAAGATAACGATAGGTATATATTCAAATATATTATCATAATTCTAACTATTTTTTGTTTTTAATTTAATTTAATATAAATAAGGAAAAGGGTTCAATTCTGCTTTAAGCGAATCATTGTTTGCGAAAACAAACAGAACAATTCTGCTTTGAGCGAATCTAAAGAAACGGACAATTTCTGCTGTGAGCGAATCATTGTTTCTGAAAATATAAACAAGGAAAAGGGTTCAATTCTACTTAAAGCGAATCATTGTTTGTGAAAACAAACAGAACAATTCTGCTTTGAGCGAATCTAAAGAAACGGACAATTTCTGCTGTGAGCGAATCATTGTTTCTGAAAATATAAACAAGGAAAAGGGTTCAATTCTACTTAAAGCGAATCATTGTTTGTGAAAACAAACAGAACAATTCTGCTTTGAGCGAATCTAAAGAAACGGACAATTTCTGCTGTGAGCGAATCATTGTTTCTCAAAATATAAACAAGGAAAAGGGTTCAATTCTGCTTTAAGCGAATACAAAGAAACTGGCCAATTCTGCCTGGAGCGAATTATTGTTTGTGAAAACAAACGGGCCAATTCCGCTTTCAGCGGCTAATTAATAAAATAAAATAGAAAAGATTCGATATATATAATTATGGGTAGACCTACAAAAGATGCATCCCGTATGGGAAAGAATCGTGCGAATTAATCGGACGATGTGAAACAATTACGTCTTTCTAAAGAACGTGAAAGAAACGCAGAGGCACGGCGTGAAGAAACTATTGACGATCGCCGTTCGAGATTGTCTGCAAAGCAAAAATATGCTAGTTCGAAAGAACCGCGCGAAACGATAGACGAAAGAAAACGTCGACTAAGCAGAATTTCTAATCGTTTAAAGAACGAATCTACCGAGAAACGATCACGTCGTATCGAATTAATCCGCAAGCGTTTAGCGAGCGAATCTACCGCGGAACGGTCACGCCGTTTCCGATTAATCCGCAGGTGTTTAGCGAACGAATCTACCGAGGAACGATCACGTCGTTTCGCATTAATCCTCAGGCGTTTAGCGAACGAATCTAATGAGGAACGTTCGCAACGTCTAATGGTTGTGAGAAATCGTATGCGGAAAGTACTACTAAGTGAACGTGTCGAATCAAGGAATACGCGTTTAAGAAATATGCGTAAACTAGCTAAAAAACGGAGAAAAGAACTTCTCCTTCAGGAAGACTACTTTAAATCGGCTATTAATATTTTTGCTAATGTAACGACCCAGTGATAGGTACGTCACTGCACCGACGTATAGGGAGAGCGGTTCCCCAAGAAGGCGACTCGTATGAATGAAAATAGAGATTATAGGTTCGTGTGGTGTGCGGTTAAGGAGTGAAATCCAACATTAATGTATCAAACTAAAATTATCTTTTATTCAAGTAAGTAAATTAACTATAATTGCTCTGAGTATAACAATAGGTACGGCTAGAATATGAAATACAATAAGAAATTATAATAGGTACGCCCTAGATAGTGAAATACAGTGGAAAATATATGATTAGTAGTTAGTAAGTAATAAGTAATAATAACGCGACTTGATCTTCGAATACAGCCAACACTCTGTACAATTTGCCAAGTTACACTAAGTACTGGAAAACTATATTCTAGTAGCTTGTACGATACCTTCAGACACGAGCGGACTATACCTACAGGTCGCAATCGGTTTCTGGTCTAGCCAGAGCTATGCTAATACAGGCCTGCTCAAGGAGCTCCGCTCCTCGCTAGCTCTTTACACTTGAACGTGTGACTTAGTATTAGCACGTGTTCAACACGTTGCGTACCATGTGTAGGATGTCCACAGATCCGAACTCTCGTACGTCACCACTGAAAGAGAAGGATAGAGCTAATCTCGCGCTCTATAGTTGCCTAAGCAATTCAGCGTAAGCTTTTCCTCTACTTCCAGAGTATTGTCTGCATCTGACCGAAGTCAGGGAAGATCTGCTCTGACTCTGCGTGGAACGCCTCTATTTATAGTCAGATTCTGCTGACTTAGCGCTTTTGTTTATTATAGGGTTCCTCTAAATTTCTGGAATTCCTCATCACGTGACGGCCGAGCACCCCTGCTCCTTAGTCTACGCGATTACCCTACTCTAGAATCTCACCCCACCGCGAGATCATCGGGGTTGCGCTGGCGCGTATGCATTCGTTTGTCGATCATTTATCGATAATCAACTTACCGACCGACTTACCGACTAATCGCTTATCG